ACAGTGGTAGTGTGAAATAAATAAATATGTTTTCAGAACAAATGCCTCCTACCAAGAGATCGAGCTGAAAGGCGAGTCCAGCCTGTCCCTCCGCGACATCTTGCCAGTGAAGGCGAAGTACTACGACAAGAACAGGGCTCCGAAGCTGCTGGGGCAGCCCACGGTGGTCTACTTCCACGTCACTGTGCTGTCGCTGGACTCCATCAATGAGGAGAGCATGGTGAGTGACATCATGGCTAGCTTTGTCACTTACGACTTTGTTGTCCGTCCGTCCGTCTGTCANCGACTCTCCCTCGCACTAAACCGCACACCTCCCCGCGTTCGCCCCGTCCGTACCAGAACGTCGAGGTGACGTCACGGCAGCCTAGTGCGCAGTTACTAGACAGGGTTGTACTTTAAAACTTTGTAAGCCATGTGCTTATGTAATTATATTATTAACTATTATAATCGTACTGGATACTTTTGGTTATAAAATTGTATTAATTATCTTCATCTGCTCCAGACTTGCAACGATTTATTAAAGATTTTAAAGGTTGAACATGTAAATAAGGGATAAAATTATGTTATAGACTATTTAGAGTTTAGCTACAAGAATAAATAATAAGTTCATCCAATGTAGGTATGTTAGTTAATAAATTGTGATGTATTTTTGAAATAAATAGTACAGAAGGAAACCTAATGTTTTTCTATTTCTCTTGGCTGAATATATTCTGTATGTATAGAGAACACGATACAACAGGTACAGTCTAGTCGGCCGTTTGGTGTAGTGGTTCGAAACGGACTACTATTCCGGAGGTTGCGGGTTCGATTCCCGCACAGTACAAACATTTGTGTGCATGAACATATTTGTTTGTATTGGACTGGGTGTTTTCTATGTATAATATGTATGTATTTAAAAAAAAAGTATTTAAGTATATTTATATCCGTTGTCTAGTACCCATAGTACAAGCTTTGCTTAGTTTGGGACTAGAAGCGCAGTGTAAAATGTCCAAGGATATTTATTTATTTATAGTCAGCGTCAAAAAGTTCGCAACATGTCTCTGTTACATACAAGTCAACTTGGCCACTTTGGGTGTCTCAAACTATTTGACGCTGACTGTAGGTGAAAAATAACTGACTACTTAAACAGACAGCAAAGTAAAATCGTACTTATTACCACTGAAATGCCATAGTGTAAATTGACACTTATTTATACACAAGGTAAAGTTTGATGTGCCTTTGATATGAGATGACGATTATCTACACTCATTATTTTGTCCGTCCGTAAACTAAAGCTATTTTCCACCAAAGCGGATAGGAGATTAGATGTGTTTGAATAACCAATCAGGTTTCGTTGTTTCCACTTCCTCAATAATGATCCTAATACTTGCCCATTTGTTGCCTCGATGCAGTGCTAGGGTTAAAGTAATACCTACTGGGACGTGCCCAGTAGGTATTACTTTAACCCTAGCACTTTAATAAAAAGCTTTTTATAAGACTACTTGCAAAAATAAATGAATTTGAATTCCTTTTCCTCTTCTTGGCGTCAGTTCAAAAATCTGATTCATGATTCTAAACACATCTCTCTTCTCCGGTTTAATCGAAACCGGGCCTAATAAGTCGTACTGTAGAGACTGCAGACTTAGGTCAGGATGAGATGAGCTTCAGTAGTGACTCAGAACCAAGCAGTAAGGCTGGAAACCAAGGGCATTTCGCTTGACTCGACCACACCCCCTGGGTAATCCTTTTAGACGTGCATAGAATTATAGCTACTGGAACAGACAAAATACTTTCCCACTTACTAATAAAACTTACACGCTCGTTGAACAGTGTTTTAAAGTGACGTTTAGTATGGAAATGACATTTTAAAACAGTGATCAACAACTGTATAACTTTTTATTACTAAGGGGGTTTGTTGGTAGAGATAGGCTAAGTGCTAAGCAAAAACTACGGTTTAGGCATCGGACGGCTGTTTCTAGAGGTCTCAGGTTCTAGTCTTGTTGACTGCTGTACTACTTATAATAGTAACCAGCACCTAATGACTATAGCTTACATTACAAGATAAGTGCAAATTAATTTACAGAGTAATTTAATTTATTAGACTGCTTAATTATCCAAAAGTGTTTTTTCGTTCTGGTCCGCTCTCGAACCAGAACATCTTGGGTTCGATTCATTGGTTCAGTAGATTTGAACAAATCTCACTGATTAAATACTGGACCGATATTGATAAAAATATCATGTAGATTGTATAGAACGTTAGGTACTTATGGTGATGATACCTTACTCAAAAGGTATTCCTTCTAGTGCTTTATGTCTTCATTTTTCTACTGAATAAGTCGGACATAAAGCTGTGGCCAACATGTAAGCGAATTTAATTTTTAACCGACTTCAAAAAAGAAGAGGTTCCCACTCTGTCTGTAGGTATACATATTTCTATGCATTTCAGTATTGATTCCGATTTTCAATTTCATTCTATGTTGTGATTTACCTTACCTACCTACTGAGTAACTAAGTAGGTACGTTGTATTTAAATTGAGTAATATGCTATTATAATAGGTAATGTAACTTATCAAAATGCTATTACCATACAGATTTTCTTATAGGTAACTTATGAATAAAGTAAACAAATCATCGCTTTCGCTCAAGCCCCAGCCGTATAACTCACTTCCCGCGTGTAAAGTAACTCCGTCCGCTAAGCGAGCCAGTCGCTCCTACTAATAATTAGGACAAACAATTATGTCATCGAAATACAACAAATTAGACATTCTGTTCACGCGATTATTGGTTCTATTGTGACAGTGATAAAGTCCAATTTTGTGCAAGTGAAAGAAACTATTTACTTTTTAGGTGGATTTTAACAAAAATGACCGTGACCTGGAAATAACAATAAAGTAATTACGTGATTAGTATTAAAACACCATCTTTTGTTATTATTTTTCATGTTGATAGATTGGCGCCCAACGTGGTGTTATTGATTTTATTTTTTTTTGTATTTTCAAAAAATCAATAAATAACGCGATTATCAAATTTTTAAACACTTTCTCTTATTTTGTGAGGAGTGCGTTTAAACGTTTAGCCACTGTAAAAGAAAGTTAAGGAATCTATAGAGTCTTTAAATCCTGTGATTGCGGCAGAGTCGATCACCCCTGCTCTACCCGTTGATGTCGTAAAGACAACTAGGGATCAAATATACAAACATTAGACTTTCTCAAACCGTCTGGGAAGAATAGGCCAAACCCTCCATTTGCCTCTGGTAAATTAAAGAAGGTCGTGTTCCTGAAGTAAAAGTCTCGGGGGATTTGTAAGTGCCACCTAAGTCAGTCAGGGTGATCCAGGTAGAAGGCCATGTCGCGTTTAGTACCCAGGACGTCCTAGTCTCAGCGATAAGCAGATTCCAGGTTTTCATTGGGTTTTAGTCCAATATAACATGTCGTTGTCCCAGACACAGGTCAAAAAAGGTTTTTGGAGTTCCGAGGCAGCATTCGAAACCATTTTGACCATATTTTATTTACTAAAAGTATCTCTCAGGGACTAAGCAGGCTATTTCTAATCACATTTTTTTTATCCATAACGTGGAAGCTCTTGGCCTGTATCCTGTATGTAGTGATGATTAAACCGAATGTTGAAACATTATCAAAAGCATCTTAGAGCTTGAATTTTAATTCTGATAGCACACTATATTTGTCGTTACCGCTATAACGAATCATTGGGTAACGAAGCCATAGAGTGACATATCCGCGTAGCGCTATGTAGGTACTATACTCTACAATGTATATTACTTGCAGCTGCCTTTGGATTATACTATTTTTGTCATGTTATATAGAGCAGTGCGCTCGGTTCCGTAGAGTTCATAAATGCATAAAAATTGTAGGTCTTCTTTTCCATGGAAAGAATTAAACTCTCTATATAAATATCTACTACTCGTGCTTACAGCTTCAGCTATCCCTTTACTTATTTTAGGTTTGGTAGGCATTGGGGTTTTACAGGTGGTCAGATGGACTTACTAACCTGAGTTTTAGCTACCACCATCTTAACGAAGTTTGTCACTAATCTATTAATGCTTATAGCTTTGTTGTGTTTCATTAGAATATTTAGAGGTATCTCAGAATTCATATAGTTAGTTCCTCTTTGGTTCTTCAACCACTTACTTTCGGTTGAACCTTTGGCCTATCATAATTTTCTGATGACTCAAAAGGTGAAAATTATGGTTTATCCTGACCAAAAAACTAAGCAAGATATCGCTCCAAAGAATAGCAACATACTTATAACAGAATATTGTACTGAACCCAGAAAGATGCAAAATAGCATTTCGTTGCACTTGCATCACACTACCCTAACTGGATTAAACTTGTAACGTGTAAGTCTTCAAATTTAATAAAACCGCATGTTATTATAACTTTTTATAATAAATTGACCTTCGTTCGCTTCAGTGCCATTCCGGGGAGGCTTGATTTAGGTGAATCGATGATTTATTAATTTATTATACGTTTTGTTCTTCCGAGCCACTTGTGGTATTTCAAACTCATTGAATCCACCACCATTGGCCATACCCATGCCTTGGCTGAAAAGTATTAGCAATCTTTTAGCAAAATTTCATAGTTATGGTGGCTTTTTAGGAACTTTGCAATGGAGGGAAGTCGAACCCTAACTTGGAACTCATTCTATGTTCTTCTGATTAATTTCGTTGCGGGTCCAATGACAGTTTAACTTTCCCCTGGGACCTTCACTGGTTGGGTTTTTATTGGCGGTCAAGCTGCAGATCCTGGCTACACAGGAGTTGCAGCGGTGGGAACGAGAGGTCTAAGGAATAGTCCGTAACCCATCTAGACATTGATCTAGGAAGCGACTACTATGGTAGGTATACAAATACATAGTAGTTTAAAAAAATCTGATTTATATGTTTTTGATTTTATTTGTGCAGACCATGATTCCAGTCCGATCTTTAAGATAGCATTAGGATAAGTACCGCTCAAAATATAAGACAATAAAGTGACTTAAGTGAAGTGAAGTGAAGATGATGAACAAAATGGTGATGGTGACGGCTTTTGTGCAATTAGTGATGATGATGAGCTGTGAAGGAGCTAGAGTTGCTGCCGCTGTCAGTTTTTTGTGAGTACAAAATGTAAAGACGTAGTGTACTTACACTACGAATACTTATTAGGCAGACCTCACACCCGGTGGATCAACGATTTAGGTCGTGGGAAGCATGTGGAAATCTCTGGGAAGTTCTTTGTCCAGCAGTGGACTGCATTTGACTGCAGCGACGACGATAACGTCAAAGGTGTTTTCCCCATAGTCTTAAAAAAAGTATTTCTACTCAGATTTTTTCAGTATTACTAGAAGTATTAAATTATCACTATTCGCAATATTGTATATTTTATAGTGCATAGCACTTTATTACTACACAAAATACCACATTATTATTCTACATGTTCCATCAGGCGAAACAATTGCAAATCACGGGTGGGACCTGGAGTCCTGAAATACAGGGCTGCCCTACATTAGGCTCCAGTCACACCATTCTCTGTTCCTTCATAATGTATGTTTAATGAGGATCAGTACTGTTGTAGAAAATTCAATAAAACTAGTATCTACGTTAATCTTTAAGACATAAGAAAGATATATCTTTTTGAATTATCCAAATCGGACCATTACTTACGAAGATATTAAGTAATAAACATAGGCCGTTTTTGCCGCTAAAAGTCAACGTACGCAAGGCCGCGTGACGTCATTATATCCGAATCGAGCGCAGCCGGCGTACTAATGGGATGGAAAATATTTTTTTCCGGCTAAACTATCAGTTTTAGAAAAAAACTTTTAATAACATTTATTCTTCAAAATAAAGTAACCTATCGACCAGTAATTTTTAAAAATAAAAATTGTGAAAAATAAGTATTGCTATGTCCAAAAACCACATTTTCATAGGATCGGAGACCCCAATCGCGTCTCTGCGTGCCATTGAATCGTATGAGCGTATGGATTTTTTGCGTTATTTTTCACAATTTCCATTTTTAAAAATTACCTATCGATAGCTTACTTTATTCTGATGAATAAATGTCATTACAAGTTTTTCTCTAAAACTGATAATTTGGCTAGAAAAAAATATTTTCTATCCACGAAGTACGCCGGCAGCGTTCGGATCGGATATAATGACGTCATCGTCCCCGCGCCGGGCGGTCAGAGAACTTTTTTAGTAATTTGGCCATAACTTCGTCAATTTTTGTCGTAGAACAAAAATTTTTGCACTGTGTATTAAGGATTTCTTAGCCCTATAAATCTGCATTCACAGCTAAAAATCGAAATGATCCTCATTCTAATTGTAACTTCAGATGTAATGTATAAGCCCTAAAGGTATGAAAATAAACAATTTCATTATTTAAAAAAAATCTACATTGTCTACGGTTGGCAAATTAAAGAACAATTTCAAGATCCGGAATTTATAAAACTTTATTATTTCTTGCTGCATGTTCACAGAACAAATGCCTCCTACCAAGAGATTGAGCTGAAAGGCGAGTCCAGCCTGTCCCTCCGCGACATCTTGCCAGTGAAGGCGAAGTACTACGACAAGAACAGGGCTCCGAAGCTGCTGGGGCAGCCGACGGTGGTCTACTTTCATGTCACCGTGCTGTCGCTTGACTCCATCAATGAGGAGAGTATGGTAAGTGGCTTGACTAGCTTTGTCACCATTCCTTCTATGATCTGAGGTCACCATTTATTGGGATGAGATGTAACCATTGGAGGAAGTAATGTAATATTTAATTGATTGTTTATGTGTCTGAGAATCATCCCAATTTCATTTTCAAACCACTTATACCACGGCATAGTGGCGCCCAACGTGTGATTAANTGATTATTGATGAATAATAAAATAAATCCTACTAGCTCGATTGATGATTTCATTTAATTTATTTAAACCAGGTTACCTTTAATAATATTTTTTCGTTTATTTATGAAAATATCAAATTAGCCCGTAATCCTGAATCCTGATACATAAATTTAGCCTATTAATTTAACACAGGTACGACTGTACTCAGTGTTGCACTATCAAATGCAATTGACGCGCCTCTATGCCAGGGTTTTTATGTTCCTGGTCAGGCTATACAATACTTTTTATTAAAATCGGATTTTATTCCGGAGGTTTTACAATTTCTTACTACTTTCGCAAATCATTACAAATGAAGAAAGGAATTTACGATGTGGTACCCTCAATGTACAATTAGATTTCGAGCGATACCACTTTTGGGCATTCTCCTTTTAAGTAGTTACTTTCCCCATTGTAATGTTATGAATTTCATCTATATATATAAAAATGAAACCCGTTTTCCGTTGTCACGACATAACATGAAAACGGCTTGACCGATTTGGCTGATTTTTTTTTTGTAGTTTTCTAATACTCTGCACAAGGTTTTTACGGAAAAAAATATAAAGAAAATCTCTACGCTAAGGCGGTACGAAGTTCGCCGGGTCAGCTAGTTTTGCAATAAAAATACCATAGTTATGACTCGATTGTCGTAATGAACGAACTTTGTAAACCTTGCAGGTTTGTACGGAACCCTCGGTGCGCGAGTCCGACTCGCACTTGGCCGGTTTTTTTTTACACGGCAAAGGTACAACTCTCACAGTGCTTTTCCAAAGCACAGAATCAATATTCTAGCCAAATGTACTTACCTAATAACTAAGAAGTGATTTTCTACTATGTGTCTTACGCTCGTATTCACAAACGATGCTTGCTTAAGTGAAGCAGAAAATCGAACGCACAGCGTATAGAGCTCTGTGATTGGTTCGTGTGTAACCCTGTGCGTCCACGCATACTGTGAGACCTCATATTAATGTTTGTGAATACGGGCCTTTTACAACCTACCACGGCATAGTGGCGCCCAACGTGTGTTTCAGTGTTTCACATCTTTGTAGATAATAATAAAATTCACTAACTAATATACCTAAGCTAACTATATTCAAATACTAAGATTCTCAAAGTCGGTTGGCCAATGATTTTTATTACTGGACTAACCTGAATTATTACCTGTGCTATTACCAACACAGTCAATAAATTGATGTAGTATTCAATACCGTCCTATTCGTACCTAGCTACGAACAAACCCTACTACTTGATCACCTTTTCCTGGTTTTCCAGACCTACGTAGCAGACATCTTCCTCGCCCAATCCTGGCGGGACCCCCGTCTTCGTCTCCCGGAGAACATGCACGAAGAATACCGGATCCTGGACGTGGAATGGCTGAACAGCATCTGGAGGCCTGACTGCTTCTTCAAGAACGCCAAGAAGGTCACCTTCCATGAGATGAGCATCCCCAACCATTATCTATGGCTGTACCATGACAAAACCTTGCTGTATATGTCAAAGTGAGTAATTTTAAAGATGATGATGAAAAATTCTTCATCATCATGTCTGTCAAAGGACTGCTGGACGATGTCTTCCCCTAAAGATTTCCATAAAGACCGGTCCTGTTAAGGAACTCTCAGTTGCTTCAAAATTGGGAATGTAACTATTACAGTTAACTTTAATGATTTTCAGTGAATAAAGTTTATTTCAAGTGATATTTCAGTTTCGAGGTTTATACGAGTACAGAGCCATGCAAACTTAACTTTTTCCTTCTTTCTTTTTCAGGTTAACATTAGTATTATCTTGCGCAATGAAATTCGAATCGTATCCACACGACACACAAAGCTGCTCCATGATGATTGAAAGCTGTAAGTACAAAAAGTAATATTAATATTGCTTAAAAATATTTCTTATATGTCTATCACTATGAATGATGCTAAGTAAAACACTCAGTTATAATATTTGCTTTAAAAATTCCAGTGTCCCACACGGTCCACGACCTGGTGTTCATCTGGAACCTGACAGACCCCCTGGTGGTGAACCCCGACATCGAGCTTCCTCAACTAGACATTTCTAACAACTACACCTCGGACTGCACAATCGAATATTCTACAGGCAAGGAAACTATGGACTTTACATCATTTTTCAATCACTTCTGTGTAGCCAGGATCCACATCTTTTCCTTCTCGAAAAACCCAATCAGTAAAGGCTAAGTTGGCGACTTCAGACCAAGAAGTATCATGGCTAAAGTCTTAAGCTCAGTGCGTTCAAGATAACTGAAGTATGTAATTGTCATAGGTATTAGCCCAGGCGCAGACCACCGATTTTTAGTTGGCCGATAGTTGGACACGATTCTACATCTCCAACTAAAAGTCGGTGGTCTAATCATCTCATCACATCTCAAATCTCAAATAGAACTCCTCCTATGTTCTTCTGATTAAATTCATTGCGGGTCCAATGACGGTTTAACTTTCCCTCGGGACAAACTTGACCTTCACTGGTTGGGTTTTTAATTGGTGGTCAAGCTGTAGATCCTGGCTACACTGGAGTTGAAGCGGTGGGAACGAGAGGTGGGAATAGTTCTGTAAGTCTTTAAAATCACCTTGCAGGTAACTTCACCTGCTTAGCAGTCGTCTTCAACCTGCGCAGGCGCCTCGGCTACCACCTGTTCCACACGTACATCCCCTCAGCACTCATCGTGGTGATGTCATGGATCTCTTTCTGGATCAAGCCCGAAGCCATCCCTGCGAGGGTCACGCTTGGCGTCACCTCGTTATTGACTTTAGGTAATATTGGTGATATTGTTTTAAAGTGCCACACTTTTGTTTTGCACTGTGGAAGGGCTTCTAAATTTCGTAGTTTTTGAAAGCTTATTATAAGAAATAATAAATAAATAAATAAATATCCTTANACAAACTAACCTATAAGCTAAGCTATACCACAGAATAAGTAATAGTACAGGGCTATACCTAATCCAAAATTTCCTACTAAGTCTGGGTGGCACCATCTAACTTCAACCAACGTCAAAATCTGTCAAACTCCACCCAATAATATCGGTTAAAGTAATTAAAGTTACCGTTAGATTGTGATTGTAAAATTAATTAAAATACTAAGAACGCGAAAGTTTAAAATTATTCATTTACCAAAACATCAATTTGATCCCATCTTAGCTTTAAATACCGCCTCTGTGGTCTAGTGGTAAGACCACCTGCTTCAGACGCAGAGGTCCCGGGTTCGATTCCCAGTCGGGGCAGATTTTTCTGTTCGGTTTGGTTGGTGGTAGGGCTTGTTCTAAGTCCGCCTGGCTAGCTACCACCATCTTACCTAAGCCTGTCGCCATAACAACAATGTTGACAGCATTGTTGTGTTCCGGCAGTTAGAGGTAATTTGAAGATAGCCAGTTCCTCCGTGGTTGAGGATTCCGGGTGAAGCTCGCTTCCACCTTCGGCCTGATCGTCACTTACTATCATGTGAGATACAGACCAAGAGCTTCCTCATTGTTTATAAAAAAAAACTCACTATCCTACCATCTGATCACCCATTTTACCGTTATTCCAGACCTACGTAGCAGACATCTTCCTCGCTCAATCCTGGAGAGACCCCCGCCTCCGTCTCCCAGAAAACATGCACGAAGAATACCGGATCCTGGACGTGGAGTGGCTGAACAGCATCTGGAGGCCTGACTGCTTCTTCAAGAACGCCAAGAAGGTCACCTTTCATGAGATGAGCATCCCCAACCATTATCTGTGGCTGTACCATGACAAGACCTTGCTGTATATGTCAAAGTGAGTAATTTTAAAGATGATGATGAAAAATTCTTCATCATCATGTCTGTCAAAGGACTGCTGGACGATGTCTTCCCCTAAAGATTTCCATAAAGACCAGTCCTGTTAAGGAACTCTCAGTTGCTTCAAAATTGGGCATGTAACTAAGTACCTATTACAGTTAACTTTAATGATTTTCAGTGAATAAAGTTTATTTCAAGTGATATTTTCAGTTTCGAGGTTTATACGAGTACAGAGCCATTCAAACTTAACTTTTTCCTTCTTTCTTTTTCAGGTTAACATTAGTATTATCTTGCGCAATGAAGTTTGAATCGTATCCACACGACACACAAAGCTGCTCCATGATGATTGAAAGCTGTAAGTACAAAAAGTAACATTAATATTGCTTAAAAATATTTCTATATGTTCATCACTGTTAATGATGCTAAGTAAAACACTCAATTAAAATGTATCTTTCCAAAATTCCAGTGTCCCACACGGTCCACGACCTCGTATTCATCTGGAACCTGACAGACCCCCTGGTGGTGAATCCCGACATTGAGCTTCCTCAACTAGACATTTCTAACAACTACACCTCGGACTGCACTATCGAATATTCTACAGGTAACTATAGACTTTTACTTTTTTTTTCATCACTCCTGTGTAGCCAGGATCTAAATTCTAAATATTTACCTCCAAGAAAAATCTAACCAGTGAAGGCTAAGTTGGCGACTTCAGGTTTCACTAACACTAAGAATAAATTATGATAAATCGCTTGTTGCAATTCACGAAGGCGAGTGAGCTTTCGTTTTACTAAAGTTTTGATAGACATTACACTATCGTTAAAATGTGCATGTACATGCACACACACAAGTAAGGGCTCCTGCACACGACGCCGCTACCGCGCCGCCGCCGCGCCGTCGCCGCGCCGCTACACTGTTTATACGCGCCGCGTGAACACCGCTGCTGCGCCGCCGCCGCCGCCGTAAAATTCTATAACCTGAACTCAGTCTTACAAAGGACTCTGATTACATGATCACGCGTTCATCATCATCATGGCGGCCTGCATCCAGCGCCGTCCTGCTACCTTTATGAGGTCGTCGGTCCACCTTGTGGGTGGACGACCCACGCAGCGTTTTTTCGCACAAGGCTTCCACTCCAGAACCTTGCTACGGTAGCAATGCTACCAGGCCATTAGTTCTGGGTGCTATGTGCCCTGCTCATTTGGCACTTCAGCTTGCTAATCACGCGTTCACTTAAAAGCAAAAGGTTGTCAGTTCAATTCCCATCTGAGGCAAATCGTCTCATCTCATCTCAAATCTCAAATAGAACTCCTCCTATGTTCTTCTGATTAAATTCATTGCGGGTCCAATGACGGTTTAACTTTCCCTCGGGACAAACTTGACCTTCACTGGTTGGGTTTTTAATTGGTGGTCAAGCTGTAGATCCTGGCTACACTGGAGTTGAAGCGGTGGGAACGAGAGGTGGGAATAGTTCTGTAAGTCTTTAAAATCACCTTGCAGGTAACTTCACCTGCTTAGCGGTCGTCTTCAACCTGCGCAGGCGCCTCGGCTACCACCTGTTCCACACGTACATCCCCTCAGCACTCATCGTGGTGATGTCATGGATCTCTTTCTGGATCAAGCCCGAAGCCATCCCTGCGAGGGTCACGCTTGGCGTCACCTCGTTACTGACTTTAGGTAATATTGTTTTAAAGTGTACTTCTAAATTTCGTATGTTAATTTTTAAAAGATTTCAGAAATGTTTGCGATATTGGGTTTTTGAAAGATTAGGTTATCTATACAGGGTGTTAGGTAAATGGGTATATGAGCCGACACTAGCCCATGTTAATATGGTCATATAAATGGTATGGTGGATTTAGAAAATTGATATCTTCATTTTAATTATTTTAATTTTCATACAAATCGGATTTAATAAAATTTATTTTGTATGAAATGTAAAAAAATTAAAATGATGATATCAAATTTCTGACTTCACCATACCATTTATATGACCATGATAACATGGGCTAGTGTCGGCTCATATACCCATTTACCTAACACCCTGTATATATAAAAGAAAGTCGTGTTAGTTACACCACTTATAACTCAAGAACGGCTGAACCGATTTAGCTGAAAATTGTCAGGGAGGTAGTTTAGAGCCAGGAGAAGGACATAGGATACTTTTTATCCCGTTCGAAATTAAAAAAAAGTCTTCTTATTTATTGCCATTAAGGCGGAACAAAGTTCGCTGGGTCAGCTAGTTTATCATAAAAGTTATCTAACTATAGAATAAAATGTTTTTGAAAATAAAAAAGTCAAGTTTTGGAACAGTTAGGTTATCGAAAAGTTAGGTTTTCGGTTAACCAAATCTAATCTTCGACAATCTAACTTTAAAAAACTTAAATTTTCAAAAGCACAACTGGTACAAAAATAACTTTAGCTAACATTCGTAAAGCTAACTGTTCGTTCGTTCGTTTCAGCCGAAAGACGTCCACTGCTGGACAAAGGCCTCCCCCAAGGATTTCCACAAAGACCGGTCCTGCGCCGCTCGCACCCAGGCACCTCCCGCGACCTTCACCAGATCGCCGATTCATCTAGTGGGAGGCCTGCCCACGCTACGTCTTCCGGCTCGCGGTCGCCACTCAAGAACTTTCCTGCCCCAGCGGCCATCAGCTCTTCGAGCTATGTGCCCCGCCCCAAACCTAACTGTACCAAAACCTAACTTACCGAAAACCTAACTTTCGAAACAAAACCTAACTTTCGAAAACATTGTACCAAAAGCTAACTTACTCAATACTTTTTCTGCTACAAACCGATATTGACAAGGAAAACCAGAGTACAAAGCAGTAGGTTATAAGAGTAGGCGCACACCGTTGATTTTTAGTTGGCCGATAGTTGTGCCCGATTTTAAATTGTACGAAGAATCGACCAAATCGAATCGGCGTAGTGTGCGCACTCCCATACATGCCCATACTGAAACTGATCAACGGCCCGACTAAACTATCGGCCGACGAAAAATCAACGGTGTACGCCTATTATAACTAATACCTTATTTTCTCTTCTCCAGCAACACAGAACNCCCAGAACACGCAATCTCAGCAGAGTCTACCACCAGTTTCCTATGTCAAAGCAATAGACGTGTGGATGTCCTCCTGCTCCGTCTTCGTGTTTCTCTCACTCTTCGAGTTTGCGGTCGTCAACAACTACATGGGGCCTGTGGCTACGAAGGCCATGAAGGGGTACTCCGATGAAGACCTGTCGAGGGATCTGGACGCGTTCAAAGTAAGTTAGAACTGCTGGTACTTAGCATCTGAACCAAGGTCGCGTTTCCACCAGAGATGTGCGAGGATGCGTAGCGAGGGATGTGTTTGTAGGACCAATAGAATCGCTTCATTTACGTCGCCTCGGTAAACGCACATCACTGGTGGAAAACAGCCTAAGGGCCTTGACCGGCTGTCAGAGTTGCTCAACCTTAGGGTTGCAGGTCTTCCAAAAATCTATACTCAGGACCATGACAGTTAAATTAAGTTGTTCTATTGCCATTGCCATAAGTTTACTCATTGCCAAAGTGAAATTTTTGTCGTCGTAGAGACACAAGTCCCGGATCATTCGACGCAGATTTTTTTTCTGATTCCGACTGTGTATTTCGTCCAGTTGGGACATTTTTGTCACTTACAACCCGTTAACTGCGCACCTGGCAACCGTGACGTCACATCGTTGCTCTGGCACGGGACGGGGCGAACGCAGGGAAGTTCGTTCGTTCGTTTCAGCCAAATGACGTCCACTGCTGGACAAAGGCCTCCCCCAAGGTTTTCCACAATGAACGGTCCTGCGCTGGCCGCATCCAGGCTCTTCCCGCGACCTTTACCAGAACGCAGGGAAGTGCGTGGGTAAATCAGAGGGAAATCACAGTCCAACGAGGTGCGCAGTGTGTTCGATAGGTTTGTCTGGATAGTCTTATCGATATCATTACTGAGTTTTGTGGTCAAGTTAAGTATTAAGTAAAACTATCGATACTTGGGCATCCCTACTGAATAATTTTCAAACTTTACTTTATTATTCATCATCATCATCATCATCATTTCAGCCATAGGACGTCCTCTGCTGAACAAGGCCTCCCCCAATGATTTCTATAATGGCCGGTTGGTAGCTGTCTGCATCCAGCGCCTTCCTGCTACCTTTATGAAGTCATCGGTCAACCGTGTGGATTGACGTCCTACGCTGCGCTTTCCAGTATAAAGCCTCATAAGCCGTCAGTTCTGCATACTATGTGCCCTGTCCATTGCCACTTCAATAGGTAATATCACCAGGATAATATTCTGACTTTACTTTATTATTTCCAGCACATATTCCCCAACACAGTGGACCCAAGAGCCAGTACATCAGCCTCCATACCCCAGTACGAAACCTTCTGCAACGGGAGAGAGACAGCTGTATACATCGATCGGTTCTCTCGCTTCTTCTTTCCGTTCTCTTTCTTCATACTCAATGTGGTGTATTGGTCTACGTTTTTGTAGAGTTTTTAGTTAAGATGTTCAGGCATTTAGAGACATTAACCCTTCATTTGGCAGTGATGCTTTTAAGCAACAACCACTTTGAATATTTCTACAGCACCAAATAATAAGTTTTGTGCAAATCATTCGATTTTGTTACAAAGCTTAGTTCAGCAAAACACTAGTAAATCGGTCGTCGACTGAGTTTTGAGTGATTTCATATCCATATTTCTGTCAGACGCCAAGATGACGCGCAATGAGAATAACAAAGACGGAAGTTTTATGATTTTGTACTATTTTATCACCTCTAATTGTTTTTGTTTGGTCTAAATTGAATTTATAATAAATCAAACTAATCATATAAAGCAATATTTGGCGTAGAAACCGTGTTTCCTAATACATGACATGCTTCCGAACCTCGATGTTGCCTAGAAGCAACAGTGCCAAACAGCTAACAAAATAGGTTTAGCTTTTTGTTAATACAAAAGAGTGTCAATACACAATAAATCAATCATGTATTACATGAATAATGTTATAGAGATGGTATAGTAATTACTTTTGATGCAATTATGGACCCTGTCGGGCACAGCATTTTAGGAGAGAGGAAGAATTAGCTGTCTGTCTCTGTGTTGTTTGTCTTCACACTTATACCACTGAACTGATTTAAATGATGAACACATTTTTCTTGCGTTGAAGTCAACAACTATAGCAGATAACGGTAACATACCAGTTTCAGAAGCTAAAGAGAAAATAAAAAGCCAACCTTGGCTCGGCATATTGATCGTGAAGTATGATGACATACGTCATCTATCAAAATTAAATGTTGGAGAAAAAGGTCGTTGTCGACTTTGCGAAAATGGCCAAAAAAAAAGCTTAATACATAAAATGTGAAATAAGATTGATTTTTTCAAGATTTTCATATAAAAAAATTAATTCTTTAATATATCTCAATGTTGTATTTAAGTACCCCTATTTGGCAATGTGGTAAATAAGCAACAATCGTTTTTCGCGAAAATACCAACCAAATATTTTTTTTACTATTTTTCTTAACTTTATTTGATAGTAACAATTAGGTCTAAATAGATTTTATTGAAAAAATCAAACAATTTTTGTCTTGCCAAATGAAGGGTTAATAAAAGTAAAGTTATGCCTAACTTAATTAAATACAATCGATTGATATCAATAAACAGTAAACACACATACTTATTTAGCTCTACATGTGTTTTAACAGCTTTAAATAGGTAATAGGTCACTTTTGTGTGCTTGTTATGACGTCATTAAACTTAATCGCCAATTTTTATATTGAAGTAGGTTTCAAAGTTATTAAATTGGCATTAGCCAATTGAAAACTGGGTTTTCAGGCCTAAAATAAGGTGCTTTTAAGGTTGGGGGAGGAAGATAATCTTAAGGGGTTAAAAAAGGCCAAAATTAAACCTAAATTAATTACCTATCAAAAGGTAATGCAAGCTTATTTGGGACTTTAGGTAATATGTGCCTTGAAAAGGGCCTGTCTGCATACTAAAATGAACAATTTTGAATTTAAATAAAAATAGTGTTTTAGGTATCATCTACCAACAAGTTATGGTCCACTGCATAATCAAACAAATAAATAAAAGAGATTTACAAGCAATTACAAAGTATTACAAATGAATCATTTTTATTAAGACTTCTTATTACTTAATTAATGTTTATCGATGTCTCTAAGTGAACTTTGGTAGTTAAGTTTTATTTATTTAAGCAAGACAAAACAAAATTGTGATTTAAATTAATGTTTTAATTGACATATTGAAAAAGATAGGACTTTGCTAAGTTGAAATTGTTGTTATTTTCTGTTCAATAAAAATAAAAGTATTTATTTGTGTCTATTATTTTATTTACGGTATCTTTCTTTTAGTCCGAAAAAGTAAAACACACACCAAATTTTTCTGGTACTGGATTCGGGTGCCACTCGCTTACCTCAGGCACTGACTGAATGAGTTAAACGCTAGGACCACAGATAAAATAATACTAGCTAGGAAGGACCTATGGGCTATGGTGCTAAGGCAGGGGTCTTCAAACTTTGAAGCCTTGGGGCCATAATATTTTTTTCGGTATGTTGCAAGGGCCATAACAATTTTAATTTTTCTGCCCACCTATGCAAACATAGGCTTAGTCTTAAGCTGTCGCGGGCCGGATTGATGGCAGTGGCGGGCCGGATATGGCCCGCGGGCCGTGGTTTGGAGACCCCTGTCACCCCCTGTGCTAAGGGATCAAAATACTTGATCCTCTATGTCTGTCATGTGTTCTCATCTCATGAGAAATAACTACATTTTGTATTTTTTTTGTATTCTCAAATTTTTTTAGTTCCACTTTCTGCCACCGGGTCAGTGAAGTTTGTGGCGCTGACCAGTTCAAGGTCCCACGATGACCGTCTGTGGTTTGGCTAGACTGTCTGGATATTGAAATTAGGCATGCAATTGAATACCTCATTGTTCTAACCTAGACTATAATTATGTTAAGGCGAAGTTGCTTTTCGAAGGCTAAAGGCCTTACCTCTAAAATTCTCTAAAACTTAATTTATTATTGGAAATTTACCTTAGCGATTACCCTGTACCCAACGGTGTTCCGACACCGTCTGGTCAACTGGCTGATTAGAGAACCAAGGAACGCGGGTTCGAACCCCGCGTCGTACGCAGCTGGAGTGGTTTCGTTAGATTCGTCTTAATCGTGATAGTGACACTGGCTATATTAAAGTTGAAAAAAAAAATGAAAATGGAGGATTTTAGGCGCCATAATGTTTTAAAAAAATATTTTTCTCCAAAACTTATCGAGTGGGTTATCAAAATAAAGGGCTTTTTAAGTAGTTTACAAAACGGCACGTCATTTAACTAAAAAGATTAAAATAAAATTATTACATCACCAACAAAAGAATTAGTCATTGATTGATGCCTCCGACTGCATTTGTAAACAATAATTTGTCTTGTTTTTATTTTTTTTACTTCATTTTTACGAAGTTGGGTTTTTTAAAAGCTTATTTACAAAGTATTAAATGATTTTGAGAAAGTGGGCGTTTTCTTTTCCTAAATCACTGAAAGGTGGAAGGCAAGAGAACATGCGGTGGTCGCCAACCCGCTGGATAGACGCCATCAAAAAGGCTACCGAGTCCACCATGGTCCAGTGTACTCGCGTCGCCTCTAACCGTCAGAAATGGAAGCACATCGCCAGGAGAGCTACCCTTGGAAATGATACCGAACACCCCACCGTGTACCTCGTCAGCGCAACCATGACCACTCTGACAAGAGTGCCCGACTAAGAAGAAGATATTGTAATAAAATAAATCACCTAAATATAACTAGGTGGTCTCAGATAACCATCTCACCACCTCCCCTTAACCGATTCCCACTCGAATACAAATCGGATAGCCGAAAATCGCTGACAATCGCCATTTGCATACAACATGCTCGTCTAGACGTGACGTGATCGGAATGCGCCGGCGCATGCATCGGTGCAGCCGAGCGATGAACTTGAGGATTTGGTGGTCTGAGGAATAGGTAAAACATTGGTAAGTAGGGTTGCCATCTTAAATTTGGCAATACGCGTGACTTTCGAGCTCGAAATTCGGACCTGGTTTTTTTAAACTAAGTAGGTATATCTAATAACAGTTCATTTTACATTTGGCCCAAAATGGTATGAAAGCGTTTCAATCTCCTTTTAAAGCCCGGACTCATCATCATTTCAGCCACAGGGCGTCCATTGCTGAACATTGGCCTTCTCCACCGATTTCCATACTGCTCGGTTGGTAGTGGCCTGCATTAATCTTTCCTTCCTGCTACTTTTAATTTTCGGATAGATCCAGTTAACTCTGTAACCTATTATTGATACCGTTTGAAAGAGCTCGTGAAGCACTTTCAGGATCAGCAACCAGTTTTTCGATATTTTGTATAGTTTAGAAATAATTGAGTGAGATCACTTAACGTTTCCACCCTGTATACTAGGTACCTCAACTAGGTTACTAAGGTTTAAGCACTGTATTTAGTTATAAGACCTTATGTACCTACACTTAGTGAGCAAATAAATGAATATGAATATGAATACTATGTTGCCATGACTCTACACGCCCTCACGCTACACCTCAGCCTTAAGTATGTACCTACATTATTATGTGACACGGCCATTTCATTGGGAATAAATGATAGACTGTTCATCGCTTTTTTGGTAGTTCTTGTAGTAATGAAAACTCTTGCAGAACTCAATTTGGTATCATCATTATCATTTTAGCCATAGGACGTCCACTGCTGAGCATAGGCCTCCCCCAATGCTTTCTACATTGATCGATTGGTAGCGGTTGCGTTGCGTTGCGATCGGTAGCGTTGATCAATTTGGTAAATTGTCAAAATAAAAAACAAAAACAACAGATTCCTCACCTACCTCACCAAAATAATAGATAGCTGGGCTCAATAGATACGCTTACGCAGCCAGCTCACGTCTAGTCTAGACGAACATGACGTTATACCTATTTAGGAATCTTTATACCTAACTATCTTTCGCTAACGGATTCGCTCGCGTTGGCAATAGAAAGTATGTAGGTAAATCTAGCTTACCGAGTAATTAAATCTAGCTAATTACCGGAGGCTGGTGGTAGCTAGTGCCCCACATAAATAAATGGTAGAGCCGTAGGGAGAGCCCCACATAGGTAACCCACAAGTTAGCGAGAATAAAAGCTAAGTAACTACATTACGAGCTATGTGCCGTAATGAGAGACGATGGCCGTTGGGGCAGAAAAGTTCTCGAGTGGCGACTACGGGCTGGAAGACGTAGCGTGGGCAGGCCTCCTACTAGGTGGACCGACGATCTGGTAAAGGTCGCGAGTAGAGCCTGGATGCGGGCAGCGCAGGACCGTGCATTGTCGAAAACCTTAGAGGAGGCCTTTGTCCAGCAGTGGACGTCATTTGGATGAAACGAACGAACGATTATAAGTAACCTATCTCAAGTGAGAGACTAAAATTTACATAATAAACGCAAAACATCGCTTCTACTATAAAGTTCTATACTTATTCAATAAAACACGAATAAA